ATCTTAGCAATTAAAAATATTTATTTATTTGGTAACATTAAAATTAATTTTTTTATTTATCTAATATTACAATAATATATTACAAAAACATATAAGTAAATGAATTTTTTTTAGAGTTATAAAATTTATAAAAAAAAAACTAACAACTTAAAATCACAATTATACTAAGTATTGTTTAAAATTATAACAAAAAAATATAATATAATCTAATACAATAGAAACTATATTACACTAACCATTAATGGAAAGTAGGCCTCTAATATTAAAAATTCTCTCTCTATGCAATTGTCCTGCTTACAATCTAATACAATTTAAACTATAAAATATGGTTTTAAATTATAATAAAAAAATTAATCATTTCTAAATCAATATCTTGTCTTGTACTAGTGGGGCATTTGTCTCAAAATTGATCCCCGTATGTGGGCTCCTCCCCCCATTTGTAGAGTGTTTGTCCCATAATATTTTTTATATATGACTTAAGTGATATATATATATAAGATTTTTTGTAATTTTAAATTAATTAATTTTAAAATTATGTATATTATCTTTGTATTTTTCACACTGTTAAAAAAATATATCTTGTACTGGTATTAACTTAACCCTTTGGCCAAACTCAAATGTTCAAACGTCAAATCTGACCTAAAAGGGTTACCATAGTCCACAGGCGTGATGTTGGGCTCTCTGCGAGAGTACACCACACCTGCCGCTCCCTGTCATTTCCCAGCATCATTCAGGCTCGACTGTCTCCTTGTTATCCACCTCCGTGAGGAGCGACAAGCGCGCCCATAGCTCCTTCAAAGATTCCCCACTCCATCCCTGCTTACGTGGGCCCTCCTTGCCCTATCCTCAATGCTTTGAAAGCCCGTGCTACCTCAAGACCCTCTGTGCAGCATTCCCCAACCTCTTGTGACAAACCCTTTCGCTCCACATAGTCTCTCCTCTCTCAACCCCCACCCCAGGAGCTCCTAGTTGCTCAAATCCCGTGCACGCCGCCCACCCTAACCTTGTCAGGCTCCTCGCACCACTCTCCTATTCAGCTTTCTTTTTATTTCTTTATTAGAAGAATAAATTTAATAAAAATATTTAAAAAATCAAAATATCTTAATATTTAACAATTACATAATAAATTTAATAAAATTAAAATTTATATTATATCTTTATATTTAATAATAATAATTAAACATTTTAATATTTT